ATTGGTGGTAAACTCCTATATATACCCCATATCTATCAGATTATATACACATTGGTGGTAAACTACCATATATAACCCATATCTATCAGATTATATACAAATTGGTGGTAAACTCCTATATATACCCCATATCTATCAGATTATATACACATTAAATGCAGGTTATTTGTTTTGAACTTGTTTTATCACACTTAACAACTAAGTTTATAACGTGTAAATATGAAGTGGTTATTGGATATAGAACCAAACACACTGACTAGAAAAACTGTGTTCCTAGAAATGTGTAATAAAGTCACTAATCATCATTCATCAGTACTGTGTAATTTGATTAATTTGACATGAAAATGAAACATGTGATGCAGGAAAAATCTTACTTCCAATTTGTTCCTGCTGTTGTTTTACTGTTTTTTAATTCTCATCACAGTATCATTGTGAGTAATGTAGGTAAGGAACTTTAGACTGACACAAAAGATAATTGGAAACAAGTTCAAGAATACACAAAACAAACGGAACTAACTATCGGTATCCCCAGGTTATATTAGAGGTGAGACGGGTGCTTCAGAAAGGGAAAGTAGGTCTCCTTTCAAACTGTTAGAAATACGTTGGTTGCTGGTCACCAACGATTCATCAATACCCTAAGAGGCTAGCCCTTTGGATTGTGACAGAGAATCAATACCCTAAGAGGCGAGCCCTTTGGATTGTGACTAGCTCTTTATCCAAGCATGCTACTGGTCAAAAGTCAACATTCTGGGCCTCATGGTTATTTGGAAGAAGTTGTTTAAAGGCTCTTTTCATACATATTTGACCCATGTGACCATGAATATGAGTCAAGGTCATTCATTTTAACAAACTTGGTAGCCCTTCATCTTAGCATGCTCCTGAATTAATATCAACATCCTCGTCCTTTCGATTATCCAGAATAAGTTTTTTAAAGTTCTATTTAAAACAATTGACCCCTATGACATTGAATATGAGTGAAGGTCATTCATGCGAACAAACTTGGTAGCCCTTCCTGCCAGCAAACTACTGGCCAAATATCATCACCCTGGGCCTTTTGGTTATTCAGAAGAATTTGTTGAAAGTTTTTAACATATTTGATCCCTGTGACCTTGAAAATGGCTGAAGGTCATTTATTTTGACAACCTTGGTAGCCCTTCATCCAAGTTTGCTTCTGGCCAAATATCATCACCCTAGGCCTCGTGGTTATTAAGAAGTTGTTCAAAAGTAAAATATTTACAGACGATGGACGGACGACAGACGGATGACGGGCGCCGCGCCACAGCATAAGCTCACTTGGCCCTTTGGGTGAGCTAAAAAGTGTTTGTATTTTAAGCGAGTGTGATAAACAGCAGCTGTGAAAAGCTGACTCCACTTTTACAAAGTTGCATATTTTTCCCCAATGTAGAAAGTTATCAATAAGTTTAGTTGATATATTTAAATATTTATTATTATATTAGCGTATAGATTTTTTTTTTTAGGCAAAACAATCCAGGGCAAGTGGGATTTAGGGCGAAACAACCTGTTACCCTAATTGAACAAGATTAATCCATAACATCATAAGTAAACCACTTGTTACATCACAAGAGTTTTTGCTTTCATACTCAAATGAAACGCATTACTGCTGGCAATGTTCATATAGTGGGTTGTAGCGCAAATGTAAATATATCCATGTGTGCTTCTCCCTGTGTATTTTTTATCTACGGTATCAGTTTCCTGGTGTCCGTTATTTTGTTTATATTTGTCCATGATTTAGTGTCAGTTGTCTATATTTTGTGAGCTTCTATACTTGTGTGTGTTCTATCTATCAGCTTCATTCCTGTTGTCCACAACGGTGTGTTTATAAGTCCATGAATATGTGTCTGGGGTGGTCTATAAAAATATGTTACATGTTGTCCATAATCGTTTTTTTTTGTGTCTTTGGTTTGTGTATATTCAATCAATCCGTTTCCTGTTGTCCATGATTGTGAGTTTATTTGTCCATTGCTATGTGTCTGTTGTCCATATTTTGTGAGTCATAATACTTGTATATATATAGATTGCAAGCACATAACCTTAATATAGAGACAGGAAGATATAATGCAGTGCCTCAAAACCAGAAATTGTGTACTTTATGTGATCTTGGAGATGTTGAGGATGAGTTTCATTTCATTCTTATGTGTCCTGTATTTTTAGAATTAGTGTATCAAGCCATATTATCGTATTTGTCCTTCTGTGTTTAAATTATAGAGCTACTGTCCAGCAAATTTTTTAAACTTATTAGAAATTTAAGTAAGTACTTGATTCAAGCAACTGTTAAGAGAAGTCGTATATTATGATATATAAGCTGTATCAAAGTCTTGCTATAAACGTTTTGTTACTGTATAATGCGATTGAGATCTATGTCTTTTACTTCACAATGAGTTATAATCTCATTTCATTATAAAATATATAGTACTCGTTTCTACCTTCATGTTGAGGTTGTATGACTGACTTTGAAGTAAGTCTTGCTATAAACGTTTTGTTACTGTATAATGCGATTGAGATTTATTTCATAAACAACTAAATTATGCTTCATAAGAGTCCGCTTAGTTACCTTAGGAAAACCTTAAAGTTTTCCCAAACTTATGCCAATTTCATGAATTTATTATTATTATGTTTGGAATTGAATCTATTGCATATGTTCTCCGCCATTGTACAAGATATTTGTAAAGTATTTATCAATATGTATATTTATGTACGCCTATATGCAATGTGCATTTGGTAATAAATTGAATTGAATTGAAATGTACATAATTGTGTGTTTATTTATTGGGTGATGTGTCGGATAATGTTTTTTTTTAATTTTATACTTGTTTATATCAAGTTTCCTTTTGTACATAATTGTGTGTTTATTTATTGGGTGATGTGTCGGATAATGTTTTTTTTAGTGTTATACTTGTTTATATCAAGTTTCCTTTTGTACATAATTGTGTGTTTATTTATTGGGTGATATGTCGGATAATGATGTTTTAATGTTATACTTGTCTATATCAAGTTTCCTTTTGTACATAATTGTGTGTATATTTATTGGGTGATATGTCGGATAATGATGTTTTAATGTTATACTTGTCTATATCAAGTTTCCTTTTGTACATAATTGTGGGTTTATTTATTGGGTGATGTGTCGGATAATGTTTTTTTTAGGGTTATACTTGTTTATATCAAGTTTCCTTTTGTACCTAATTGTGTGTTTATTTATTGGGTGATGTGTCTGTATGTCTCTTTACTTGTACATGTATATAATCTTTTTGTTGTTCATAATTACGTGCTTATTTATCCATGGTTTAGTGTCAGGTGGCCATACTTTGTGTGGCTTTATACAGTACTTATATATTCTTCCTATTTGTTAATCTTGTGTCCCATTATTGTACCACTATTACAATGAAATCAGAACAAAATTCAGATGCTTCTGGGTTGAAACATCATATAAGAACCCATTAATGTAAGTAATGATAATAGAACAAAGCAGCTTTCAGTGAACTAATTTAATTGATTTCACATAGAATAGGGTCATACAAAGTTCAGTAGATTTACAGCTGAACTAACAGTACTTTATCACAGATATTTTCCTGATGTTACATATTTTCATGCTGCTGTAATTAACAGCAGACATCAGGCAAAGTCACATGCAACAGACACTGTTCTGTTGTCACGCGAACATCATCTCCTTGATGTCCAGTCTTTGTTTCATATTTATAAATTAACAGTAAAATTAGTAAAATCTAACAGACAACTTTTCAAACTAACTGAAGAAGCAAGTTTTTCAGGATTCTAGCTTCGTATGTGACTGTATTTTTGCCTGGGTGCATCGGTTCAGCTTCAAGGGGTTGTTCAATCATGGCTTTGACATCTCGGCCGTACACTGAAATAGCAATTAATAACAATTATTAGACAAACTCCACTCCCCCTTCCAGGATCACCAAAAGAAGTATGCTCTTGACAGGTTTTATGAAATCAAAAATATTCATTATGTTCTATACTTTAAGTAATTCTTTGTTTGTATTATATATAACTTGTTTATGAAAATAGAAATGATGAGCAACACCACCACCACTGAATCTGGTACAAAATGTGATGCTTGATTTATATCCTATGTGCTAAAATCAAGCATCACATTTTGTACTGGACTCAGTGGTGTTGTTGCTCATCATTTCTGTTTTCATTTGCTCTGCTTTCCCTGATGAGCACTGTTGAATACCATTAAGGTATCCACCCCAGGATCCTTACGGCCACTATTGAACTGACTTCCTTGCAGGGACGTTGGGTCTCCACCCTCTTGGTGATGTTTATGAAAAATGAAATGCTGTATAATACATTCAGACAATAAATCCCAATTCCATGAGCTGTGTCCCAACTATAGCGGCAGTACTTACTTTCACAACACTCGAGGAAGGCGACACACTCCTGGACCACAGAGTCCCTCAGCATGATCATGTGTTTGGACATATTCTCTATCAGAGAAAGGAAGCAGCGCTTGGCGTAGTACCATGTATCTGTCCCCAGCTTTTTCTGGTATGGCTCCAGGCTCTTTATCACCCGGGTGATCCCAAACTCATAGTTTCCCTTGGCACAGTATAGTGTTCTGTAAGGAGATGTAAAGGTCTCAGCATTCGTTCAGTTTAGTATTTTTGTTGTGGAATGTTTTTTGTTTCACAGCCTACAAGTTCATTCAGGTCAAAAAATAGTCAAACAACACTTAAACTAGTACATGTATTCAAGCTTTGTAGTAGGAAGACACTGATTTTTGTTTTAATTTTCAATAACCATTTCTAAATAGTAAAAACAAATTTCTAAATAGGGCCATTTCATGTTTAAGTTTTGTATTTTGTAGCTCGTTAGATTTTGGAATTGTTTATGACAGGTACCCTATCACAAGGTTAACGATACACAGGTGGAATATTTTCTTCTCTGGATCATCATAGGCTACTTGTTCTTCCTCCTTCTCAATCTTCCTCATCAGTTCTTCTGCCTGTACAGATCAATAGAAAATAACACATTTATTTCATAAGAAAAAGCTTGAGAAACTCAATATGACCTGAAAGTCATTAGTGACAACACAATAGGTTTGGGCCCATTTCTTCAGTAACAATTGAATAAAAAAAGCGTTTTTCTCAGTAAAACATGTTTGAAGAGGATTCTTGAACTGGGAATAGAGCTCTTGAAATTTACAAGAATTAATCATTCATTGGAGATTTCGACAAAAATGGGACAATTAATTGTCGACTTACCTCCTCATTCTGACTGGTCATGATGTAGGACACACACAGGTTAGCCAGCACTATAGCACTCACATTCAGGATCTGTCGTACACAAATCATAATCATCAGGTAGTCCTAAATCACATATAACAAGGATATCAAATGTTCAATTAAGGTGTTGAGATATATGGAGCTGACAGGAAAATTACATGTAGTGTCCAAGATAAAATTATTCCTGAGGTAATCTGTTTCAGGAAAGGTCAGTAGAGTATACCTACCTAGAACCGTAAGTCAAAGGTTAACTAGGTACTACCTCCTGATCTACCATGAGAATGGTCAAAATGGAGAATAAACTATATTATATGTTACATGATGACAATGGGTGTGAAATTTCATAAATATCTATCAAAAAATATTCAGCTGTTGTCTACATAAAGTAAGTTTTATACAAGGACAGTTATTAATGTCTTTTAACTATCCCACGAAAACATGATGGTCCATGCCAATCAGAGGCCATATCGGCCATCTTAATCCCAAAATTTAAAAGTTTGCTATTTAACATAAAGTTGAAACCCTATATATGGGGGTAATGCTGAAACCAAAACATAAATATCAGGTCTACGAGATGAACACATCATCCATATAACATTGAAGTAACGGAGGTGTTTCGACAAGCTTTTAGTGGAATCTAGTTTACCTCCTTAATCTCTTCAAGGGGCAAAGTATGACAAAAAAATCAACACTTACATTATCGTAATTCTTTTTCACTATTGGTTCATAGAACCCAGAAGACTCCTTGTATTTATTCTCCTGCATAAAGAGTACATGGGCTACATTGAGCTTCCAAATGTCATGTTCATTGCAGAACTCCACAGATTTCCTGAAGATTTTCTCCACCTGTTGGTAGTTTTCCATGTCCCAGTATATCTTTGCCTGTTGCATCAGTACTGGAATGTATCTGTAAGACACAAGTTAATTTAACTTGACCTAGTGGATGATATATGCGTAGAGAAAAGATAAAGAAGTAACGGGAAAACAATCTTACTGCAGAGGAATTATATAGTAATATGATATTGGTAAATACAGATAGCTGTTGTCTTGTGTAGGATTATAATTTATGTTTGTAAATACAGACAGTTGTTGTCTTGTGTAGGATTATATGTTTGTAAATACAGACAGCTGTTGTCTTGTGTAGGATTATAGGTTTGTAAATACAGTCAGCTGTTGTCTTGTGTAGGATTATACGTTTGTAAATACAGACAGTTGTTGTCTTGTGTAGAATTATATGTTTGTAAATACAGACAGCTGTTGTCTTGTGTAGGATTATATGTTTGTAAATACAGACAGTTGTTGTCTTGTTAAAGATTATAGGTCTGTAAATACAGACAGTTGTTGTCTTGTGTAGGATTATATGTTTGTAGATACAGACAGCTGTTGTCTTGTGTAGGATTATATGTTTGTAAATACAGACAGCTGTTGTCTTGTGTAGGATTATATGTTTGTAAATACAGACAGCTGTTGTCTTGTGTAGGATTATATGTTTGTAAATACAGACAGCTGTTGTCTTGTGTAGGATTATATGTTTGTAAATACAGACAGCTGTTGTCTTGTGTAGGATTATATGTTTGTAAATACAGACAGCTGTTGTCTTGTGTAGGATTATATGTTTGTAAATACAGACAGCTGTTGTCTTGTGTAGGATTATATGTTTGTAAATACAGACAGCTGTTGTCTTGTGTAGGATTATATGTTTGTAAATACAGACAGCTGTTGTCTTGTGTAGGATTATATGTTTGTAAATACAGACAGCTGTTGTCTTGTGTAGGATTATATGTTTGTAAATACAGACAGCTGTTGTCTTGTGTAGGATTATATGTTTGTAAATACAGACAGCTGTTGTCTTGTGTAGGATTATATGTTTGTAAATACAGACAGCTGTTGTCTTGTGTAGGATTATATGTTTGTAAATACAGACAGCTGTTGTCTTGTGTAGGATTATATGTTTGTAAATACAGACAGCTGTTGTCTTGTGTAGGATTATATGTTTGTAAATACAGACAGCTGTTGTCTTGTGTAGGATTATATGTTTGTAAATACAGACAGTTGTTGTCTTGTGTAGGATTATATGTTTGTAAATACAGACAGCTGTTGTCTTGTGTCATTGGTACCGTACCTCTCTAGTGCCTCATCATAGTCATTAACAGCCCTCTTTACTGCCTCGTCATCATGGTTCTGTCTGGCCTCCTGGACCTAAAACAAGGAATAGATGTCGGACTCAAAACAAAACCAAAATTACCTGAAGCCAATAATGACAAACACAGTGGTGACTCCCAGTAATGTTATGCTAGTAGTTGTATATCTCTATGAGGGAAGGAATGGTGAGAGCTGTGTAATGTCTGAAGTGGTCAGGCCCAAGTCAACATTGGGGATCAGGAAATACAAAGTGCATGGGAAATATCACAGCACAAGTGGAATTGGTGTCAATCTTGTGTGTTATCACCATAAGTTGTCCTGGCTTTAGATTGTTTGAGAATCAAAACATACGTGATATCATATTACCATGCTGGCCTAAGTACTGAGAATCAAAACATACCAGCTATCACATTACCATGCTGGCCTAAGTACATGATGAACCAAAAGATTTGTCGAGGTTAATCACCACTTCAAAGTCATGAAAACTGCTGGTAAATGTGACAATGTATTAGTAATGCAATGTGTGTGCAAAATATCAAACATACAAAACCTTGTGGTGATGAATGTTCATCCTGCCCTACCGATGCCTAGCCACTGTCTACTTCATTCCAAACCTGGTTATACAGCTGACACCTGTACCCTTGAAATCATTGGTTCTCTCGATCAAGCAAGATATGATGTGTGTGAAATCACTGCATGAACGTCTCCGAGGTCATTAGCGGTTTTGGCCAATACGCTTACTACAGACTACAATTGATTTCTTGAAGACCAGAATACACAGACACAATTTAAAAACAAACTAATGGAATCTCATACACCAATCAGTGTGGATCAGGTAAACCAATCTGTGGATCAGGTAAACCAATCTGTGGTTCAGGTAAACCAATCTGTGGATCTTTAGAGTCCTTACCAGGTGAACACCGGGACTTGATCAATGATATGTCTTAAAGGTATGTTGAAATTGATTCCCTTAACTCAATGCTGAGACTGTTACAAGTTTGTCTGATTTATCCATAGGAGAACTGAACACAAAATGGTTGGATAATGTATTTACTTTACCTCAGATGTGAAAAAGTTAAAAATGAACTTGAAAAAAAAAGATGTGAAAAAGTGAAAATGAATTTGAAAGTGAGATTCATTATATATCTGTCAGAGTGAGAACAAGTAATTAATATAAGTCAAAGTGAAAACTGAAATACCAACTCGGTGATGGAACTCCCTAAACAAAGTATCTCGGTGATAGAACTCTCTAAACAAAGTATCTCGGTGACTTTGGCTCCAAGAATTCCCCACACTTGTCTAGCTGGGTGATCTGATTAGAACGGCAGAACTGCCCAAGGCACTAATGCTATCGGATATGCCAACACACAGCAACACTTATATTTACCAGTTCCCAAGATTTCCCAATCTTTCCTTGAATCTGAATGGTAAAATCAGCACTAATGGGTTTATCAGAAGCATAAGCTTGATAGGTTCAAACAATGTTATTGTTCTAAGAGTGTTGGCTGCCATATCCCACAGAGTGGTCAAGTTTTTTAAATGGTATGTCACAAACATGAAACAAAAATAGTCTATCAATTACATATTTTGTGCTATAATGAATTTACCTGTTTTGTCAACTTGCGAAGAGTTTCCGTTTGACTTGTCGCCATCTCATCCAGTTTTCTGTAAGCCTCTTCAGGTGATGTCTGTCTGGTTATCACAGCCTCCAGAAAGTCATACATGTACTGTAAGGAAGTTCATACATGTACCGCAAGGAAGTTCAAACAGATACTGTAAGGAAGTTCATACATGTACCGCAAGGAAGTTCAAACAGATACTGTAAGGAAGTTCATATATGTACTGTTGGAAGTTAATACATGTACTGTAAGGAAGTTCATACAGATACTGTAAGAAGTTCAAACAGATACTGTAAGGAAGTTCATACAGATACTGTAAGGAAGTTAATACATGTACTGTAAGGAAGTTCATACATGTACTGTAAGGAAGTTCATAAATGTACTGTAAGGAAGTTCATACAGATTTTATACATAACTTCACACAATGAAAGAGTTAACCTGTTTTTTACCTGAGTTAAGACACAGATATGTATGTGCAAGCAAAGAACAAATACTAAAACCTACTGCAAACATTTGGCGTATCAGGGGCTACTCACTCTATAACAAACCTACTAATAGTAACAAATTCTTTTCAAAAGATTTTAAAGGAAGCTAGACTCTGCGAAGTCACAGAGAAGCTTTATAAAGAACACGAGCTAGACTCCAAAGAAAACAAGAGAAGCAGCTAGACTCTGAAAGACTCCAGAGAAGCGACTAGACTCCTAATATCCATGGAGAAGCTATAAAAGAAATTCATACATGTGCTGTAAGGAAGTTCATACATGTACTGTAAGGAAGTTCATACAGGCATTTATGACAAGTCTACAATTCCTTATATTAGCTTATATGGTAATCATATTTCTACTACACAACAAAAGACAAAGAATTTGTTAAATAAAAAGAGTTTGAACATAGGGTGTATTATTATTGCTGCAAAGTCCCATGAAAATTGGCCATTATCATAATGTCTTTATTGAAACGGTGATACTTACAGGGGTCAAATACTTGTACGTTAAATGAGCATTTTCTGCCAACACATCCGCAGCCAGATCATAGTACTGAAACAAGCATAGAGGCAGTTATAGTCAAACAATACTGAAACCCATAACCAAGACATTGCTAGGCACCGGGCAAAGGTCAAATATCCAGAAAGTTGCTTCATTCTATTATACACAGATAGGATACTTACTTCAAACTTTACATAAAGAAGCAACAAATTCCCAAATGTTTCTGGTGGGAAAGGATTTTGCTGAAGAAGAAATTGCATCTTTTCAAATCCCTTTGTAGGCGTCAGTTCCATGTTCATAAGTGCTTGGTTGTGGAGGGTGACAGCATCCAGCTCTTCCTCTGAACGAGGGGGCATATCTGTCAATGCTTCACAGGCTGCCTCAACTGTGTCAAAACGAAACAATAGTAACAGGCATAAATGGTGTTCAGGAGACAAAGATAAAGTACTGTGTGTCACAGCCATGATTACATAGACAAATCTACAGTACTGTGTGTCACAGCCATGTATACAGGCAAAAAACATACAGTACTGTGTGTCACAGCCATGATTACATAGACAAACATACAGTACTGTGTTTAACAGCCATGTTTACATAGACAAACATACAGTACTGTGTTTAACAGCAATGTATACAGGCAAAAACATACTGTACTGTGTCTCACAGCCATTATTACATAGACAAACATACAGTACTGTGTTTAACAGCCATGTATACAGGCAAAAAACATACAGTACTGTGTGTCACAGCCATTATTACATAGACAAACATACAGTACTGTGTTTAACAGCAATGTATACAGGCAAAAACATACTGTACTGTGTGTCACAGCCATTATTACATAGACAAACATACAGTACTGTGTTTAACAGCCATGTATACGGGTGATAAACATACAGTACTGTGTGTCACAGCCATGTATACAGGAGACAAACATATAGTACTGTGTGTCACAGCCATGTATACAGGAGACAAACATATAGTACTGTGTGTCACAGCCATGTATACAGGAGACACACCTACAGTACTGTGTGTCACAGCCATGTATACTACTGTGTTTAACAGCAATGTATACAGGCAAAAACATACTGTACTGTGTATCACAGCCATTATTACATAGACAAACATACAGTATTGTGTTTAACAGCCATGTTTACATAGACAAACATACAGTCCTGTGTTTAACAGCCATGTATACAGGTGATAAACATACAGTACTGTTTGTCACAGCCATGTATACAGGTGATAAACTTACAGTACTGTGTGTCACAGCCATGTATACAGGTAATAAACATACAGTACTGTGTGTCACAGCTATGTATACAGGTGCTAAACATACAGTACTGTGTGTCACAGCCATATATACAGGCAACAAACATACAGTACTGAGTGTCACAGCCATGTATACAAGAGACAAACCTACAGTACTGTGTGTCACAGCCATGTTTACACAGACAAACATACAGTACTGTGTTTAACAGCCATGTATACGGGTGATAAACATACAGTACTGTGTGTCACAGCCATATATACAGTAGGTAAACATACAGTACTGTGTGTCACACCCATGTATACAGGTGATAAACATACAGTACTGTTTGTCACAGCCATGTATACAGGTGATAAACATACAGTACTGTGTGTCACAGCTATGTATACAGGTGCTAAACATACAGTACTGTGTGTCAAACCATATATACAGGCAACAAACATACAGTATTGTGTGTCACAGCCATGCATACAGGTGATAAACATACAGTACTGTGTGTCACAGCCATGTATACAGGAGACAAACATACAGTACTGTGTGTCATAGCCATGTATACAGGAGACAAACATATAGTACTGTGTGTCACATCCATGTATACATGAGACAATCATACAGTACTATGTGTCACAGACATGTATACAGGAGACAAACCTACAGTACTGTGTGTCACAGCCATGTATACAGGTGCTAAACATACAGTAATGTGTGTCACAGCCATGTATACAGGTGATAAACATACAGTACTGTGTGTCAAAGCCATGTATACAGGTGATCAACAAACAGTACTATGTATCACAGCCATATATACAGGAGACAAACATACAGTACAGGTGTAGCAGCCATATATACAGGCAACAAACATACAGTACTGTGTGTAGCAGCCATATATACAGTAGACAAACATACAGTACTGTGTGTCACAGCCATGTATACAGGTGATAAACATACAGTACTGTGTTTAACAGCCATGTATACAGGTGATAAACATATAGTACTGTGTGTCACAGCCATGTATACAGGAGACAAACATATAGTACCGTGTATCACAGCTTTGTCATTATGTTTTGAATACATTTTGAGTAATTTATAAAATTGCTTACATTTTGTGAAGAATTTAATATATCAACTTCATACCCGCTAAATGACCGCATTTTGCGGGTCACACACCCGCAAATTTAACCTATCAACCGCGAATAAAGAGAATGTAATGAAAAATAGAATGTGTGAAAAGATTAGCTTTATTTATTTAAAAAGCAGTCCTTAATCCTACCAGAAGGCACAACATATGTCATGCCGTGACGGCGCAAAAAATAATTTATTAATTTTGACGTGAATTTTCTTTTGTCGTGCGTTATCACCCCCTATTGGGAGATTCAGGGGTTAGCAGGAATGCAATTTGCAAGGCCTTTTCTTTGAAATTCATTCCTTTTAATATCAACACAATCATTATTTAACAAGCTTTATGTACCAATGATTATTTTGATCACAATCCGAATACCTGTAGGTAGCCTTCATTCCTTGAACTGGACATATTTTTGGTAATGTTATTATGGTACCCAAGGGAGATGACTCACAGTTTTTCAGCTGGTACTCTATGGCAGCTTTGAGGTTGAAGGCTTCAATGAGGGCAGTCTCGTGTAGAATCAGTGTATTTCCCACACTACGCACATCAATTCCCTCCGTTGTCATACCAACACTCAGTTCTACAAAATTATAAACATGAAAAGTCACTTTAGTTATAATTAACAAAGATTTCCTCCAAGCCAATTGTGTAGGACATGTTGAAATTCATTATAATCAGATCTTGCAGCTATGCTGAACAGATGTGTTGATATGAAATGATTTAGGGTGAAAGCTAAAATAATTATCAGTTTCACTATGCATTATTTCACTTTGGAACAAGATTTTTTTTAAATATTTAGACATTAAAGTTGAGATGTTATGACATGAATGTGCCTGTAATCCTGTGCATGGTTGACCTATAGATAGAACACAACTGTGATGTTGGTGTTGATTTGGGACCCTGAAATAACAAATCATCCACAGTATTCTCATACTAGACCTTTGTATAAGTTTGATGACAATTTGTTAAGAAATGAAGTTGGTAAAGTAATGACCTGATGGGACAGACATGGGTAACAATTTATTACTCCCCTGAACCCACCATTAATATGGTGGGGGCATAATCACAAAATGAGCAGGGGCCCACATTAATATACCACACTACAAAAGTGATCAATTGTGACCTTTATACACAGGTAAAGCTTTGACCCTTTAAGTTTCACAGATGACTACAAAATTTTATCAGGTATAGAAGTTGATGCCATACCATGGTGTATATATACACTAAACCTGTTGAGTTTATATTCAAAATAGGTCTCATGACCACCAAACTATAATCATCAGTTGAAGAACTTGAGGTCACCATTACTTTGGTATAAAGTTTGTACTTATGTGATTTGACTCAATGTAAAATTATTTACAGCTTTCCAATCACTGCTGTACCTAAGAAATTATAAGGCTTTGTATTCTGTTTTATTCAGTTGTGTTATCTATAATTCTGTTTGTGTAATATAAAATGAAATGGCAAGTTTAAAGATACCGGTGTATTTGTCATGGACACCTACCTGGGTGCTCCCTGATGCCCTTCTCTATGATGTCAGCGATGTGTTTGAGGGCAGGCGCATACTGTTTCATCTGGTAGTGACACAGTGCTATGTTATAAGACAGATCAGGTCTGTACCCAATGATCTGCATGGCAGTAGTGAACTTCTGGCAGGCTTCCTCAAATCTGTTGTCCTGAATATTTAGAAGGATATCATATACTCTGTCACTCAACAATAAGTCAGAGGTCTACTCACTTCTCACAAGTCTGGAGATTACTACTCACTTCTCACAAGTCTGGAGATTACTACTCACTTCTCACAAGTCTGGAGATTACTACTCACTTCTCACAAGTCTGGAGATTACTACTCACTTCTCACAAGTCTGGAGATTACTACTCACTTCTCACAAGTCTGGAGATTACTACTCACTTCTCACAAGTCTGGAGATTACTACTCACTTCTCACAAGTCTGGAGATTACTACTCACTTCTCACAAGTCTGGAGATTACTACTCACTTCTCACAAGTCTGGAGATTACTACTCACTTCTCACAAGTCTGGAGATTACTACTCACTTCTCACAAGTCTGGAGATTACTACTCACTTCTCACAAGTCTGGAGGTTACACAACTCTGACAGGTCCAGAGTTGAGACATATAATAGAAGCAGAAACCCTTTCTTACAGAGTACATCTACTAAAACTCTGGCACTTGTCTAATAGAATCTTCCCCTAACGTAAGAGTATGATAGCAAAATCTCAACAAGCCCATTTTCTTGATTGCATAACCTGAGACAGGTCAAGGGTAAGGCATTCAAGGGTCTCACCTGAACAGGTAAAAAAGGAAAACAATTTTCTTGATTGTGGAAAAATACATAATCTTAGTCTAATTAATGAGTTATAGAAATATCTTACAAGCATCACATACCTTGAAGAGAAGACATCCCAGGTTTATTTCTGTGTCAGGGTCATCAGCAGGGCACTGCTCTACAAGGCTCTGAAAACATACCACAATCTTACCATCAAAGATATGTGCATGTATGTACACTGACTACCATACTGATTATATGTTATATGCACTGTTTACAGTGTTACTTCATACTCTTAAATACGAAATGAAAACATTTTTATCATTAAGAGTTCTATCAAAACTTGTTCAATGTCCCATGATGAAGCAACTGAAGGTAAAAAGAAGACCTTTTCTCAACTTGATTTTTCTAACTTGAAAAAGACACTCAGTTAACTTTGTGTCTTTAAAAAAATTGAAAATTAACAAACTCAACTCATGTAAACATGTTAGCCAACCATCACTCACAGTACCTTTATGAAGCTGAGAAAATACAGAATCTTATTAACCTTGTTAAATCATAGGAGATGGAAAAGGGAAAAGTGGAAGGATCAAGAATTCTGGCAACAGCAGGGTACTGGTGTATGACAGTGGACCTATATCAACAACTGTGACCCCCAAAGAAGATTGTCATCTACCAGAGACCTTATTACAATAAACTTTGGTTACCAACTACAACACAAGTCAGCATGGAGGTGCTGACAATGCCATGGAGTAAACATTTAGAGGCTGTCTGCTAGAGGAAGAAAGTACTGAGATTAAGTGGACAACCGTCAGCAGAAGAAATGGCAAGTTTCGTGTCAGTAGGAGAAGGGTGCTGGGGTTTCACAGGACAGTCCCTGTGGAATTCCAGAGAGTGATGGATGACATGGGATGAGAGATAATGAAGCTGACTGAAGCAGTAGGCAAACAGGCAGAAGTAGCGTCACAGTAACTGTGGAGGAGGCGGACACAACAGTCGACATAACAGAGAGTATTGTGTGTTTTTGAGTAGTAAAATCACTGAATTAGAGACAATCATGGAGTAATGAGAGGCTGTGATATTGGTATAAAAATATCTACAAACATCAGCAGTGTCAACAACAACAGATATCAGCAGTGTCAACAACAACAGACATCAGCAGTGTCAACAACAATAGACATCAGCAGTGTCAACAACAGACATCAGCAGTGTCAACAACAACAGACATCAGCAGTCTCAACAACAATAGACATCAGCAGTGTAAACAACAACAGACATCAGCAGTGTCAACAACAACAGACATCAGCAGAGTCAACAACAACAGACATCAGCAGTGTCAACAACAACAGACATCAAACAGTGTCAACAACAACAGATATCAGCAGTGTCAACAACAAAAGACATCAGCAGTGTCAACAACAACAGACATCAGCAGTGTCAACAACAACAGACATCAGCAGTGTCAATAACAACAGACATCAGCAGGACATTGTAAACAAGTTACACTCCTGTTCCAAATTAAGAGTCACAAGCATTTTCTCCTTTTAATTCATACATTTCTATATTTTTAGTGAAATTTTCTGAAGCCAGGGTAAGAGAATTATAGATCTAAACTTTTCTTTTTATAATAAGTATAGTTTTTTGAGTTGAGCATTTTTCAAGATGTGATAAATAATATGTGGATATTTATTAATGATGCACCAAAACGTTACAGTAAAAATCTAATTACTGTGTTAAACTGGCTGTATCACAAAAAAATACTTTACGGAAAATATGAAAATATTACGAGAAAATACTCAGATAATTCTCTTTCAGGATGCAGGTTTTTGTTTCAATAATGTTACAACTGACTTCATAAAATTCAAAGAAAAAAAAAAGAAACTAGAAAAATGTCAGAATGACATGAAAGTCATCCCATCATTCTGTATGATCTTTTTCCAATAAATCATTGACCAAGCTACAACTGATATATTTCGACCTGTCAATCAAAAGGGTAAACAATGACCAGGTGTAAATACATACATGCTGTTCAGCTAGCCATGCCAACACATGGAAAGCATGTGGCAAATATAACGTTAGCGTTGATCGACACCTCGAATATGGGGAGATCTGCGCGCTGACACGCATACGGTAACCTGGCATGGGCAGATCAGGTAATTGGAATATAACGATGTTGTTTTCACAACAATAAGTTTCAGAAAAGATCTAATCTTATATGTGGATAAATCTTTTACTTTTTTGTAATGAAAAATACTTTTCCAAGTAGTTTTCTGATCGTCTGCAAATCCGACTGAATCGGTCATCGATATCGACAGAGTGTGTACCACTTAAAGGCAGTCACTCAAACAGGTCTGACGAGGGCCGCCAACATCAGAATTCGCGAGAAAAGAAGAACACCAAACAATTGTGATTTCAGCATTTCTCCTTTGAAAAGAAAAGATCGGAATGTATTTGGCTGTTTTGAAGCCGTTAATATTTATTTTTCAAACTTAAACTTTTATCATTATCGGTTCAAGTCGCATGGATTGTCACCTTGTAAATTCCTGCCGGTTAATAGTATCACACGACCTTGACTCTTTGCGGTACACAAACTTACCAACTTCGTCACTTTACCCATGTCATTTTTACACATAGGTACCCAAGAACGACATTTTAACCTCAGAGTGCTAAATATGATGCAATTCTTCGTTGTTTCCCCAAACGTGGTATTTATCAATTCACAACGCAACGTCCTGAACAGTTGGGCCTAGTTTACTCAAGTTTATTTATCCGATTCTATCGTATAATATGACTTAAACTTGCAACTTTTCATAATTGTTAAATTGGCAATGCAATCAGGGGTTATTCAACGAAATATAGCAGTTTATTGATGCGAGCATATTTCAAAATATTTCTGAAAATCCTCGAAAAATTTACGATGAATGGTTGCGATCAAGGACTGGTTTTGGATTGTTTTTGAGTATCGTGTACACCCCTTTCTTGACACTTCATTTTTCCTTTAAAAAGTGTGCACTTTACACAAATATTAACGGTAGTCGTTGGTCAGACATAAAATATCTAAATCAATCATTAGCAATTTATAATACGACAGTTTACCCCCTTCGGGAACCTCAAAGGTTCCTGATTAATACTCGGAACATCTTCAGGTTATATATATATGTAATTTTTGTGTGAAGTTTGGAACGCCTTTAAGTTTTATAATATTTCCGAAAGAACCAAGCTCTTAACAGCGCAAGGCAACAGAGGTCAAAATCTGGGACAGAAACCAAAATTGATAGTTCCTACTGGAGTTCCCCCAGGGTGACTAAAAATGCATCGTGACCTTTGATCTGGCATGAGACAGTAGATGGTTCTGGGCTGAGGTTGTTGTCCCTACGTAAACTTCACCTGCTGTGGACAGTGTCTAAACAACGGAGGCTAGAGAAACCCAGCTGATGACCACATCAGTTTGCATCAGAAACATCTGATGTATGACAATATATATATGATATAAGCAAACGATAAAAAAAAATATGCTCAAATGATGCTGGATTTAAAACACAATATCTACCAAATTCATTCCATGCAGTTAACTTTTCCTTACCTTAGAGCCAGGTAGATCCTCCTCGCCATACTTAATCGCAGCCTGGAGTTTTGTTATCTGTACAAAAATAACAGTGTGTAAAATATGACTGTAAACATACNTGGTTCTTGAGAAGAAGTTGAAAATGTAAAAGTTTACGCACGACGCACGACGGACGAAAAGCGATTGGAATAGGTCACTTGAGCAAAGCTCAGGTGACCTAAAAAGATCACAAAATAACTTCTGATCGTTTAATACAAATAATCATCCCAGCATTATTTTTGATCATTTAACTTCTCTCCAATCTAAATATTGCTTTGTTTGTGAGAAATCACTGTACACTAAGTAAAGTTAATGGATGAAACTTTATTTGTAACTGTTCTTTCAACTATTCATTCAGAAAACAGAAGTTATAATATATGTCTGTACATTGTATTAATTAACAATGGACTCTTCTTGTAAATGACTGTGGAATTATATCTTATGTAATTGACAACATCACACTACTATCCGAGAGTTATCAAGCGTTTGTTCATGACCAACCTCACTGTAGTCTAGGCATGGAGATGGTAAGTGTTGTTCATGACCAACTTCACTGTAGTCTAGACAGAGAGATGTTCAGTGTTGTTCATGGCCAACCTCACTGTAGTCTAGGCATGGAGATGGTAAGTGTTGTTCATGACCAACTTCACTGTAGTCTAGACACTGAGATGGTAAGTGTTGTTCATGACCAACTTCACTGTAGTCTAGGCATGTAGATGGTAAGTGTTGTTCATGACCAACCTAACTGTAGTCTAGACACAGAGATGGTAAGTATTGTTCATGACCAACCTCACTGTAGTCTAGACACTGAGATGGTAAGTGCTGTTCATGACCAACTTCACTGTAGTCTAGACATTGAGATGGTAAGTGTTGTTCATGACCAACCTGACTGTAGTCTAGACAGAGATGATAAGTGTTGTTCATGACCAACCTCACTGTAGTCTAGACAGGGCAAAGTAGAGACCAGTTTGTTCATGGCCAATGCATACTCCCTGTTGTATCATTGTAGAATTTTTATTTACAATTGTAGTTATTATGGGTCTTGATGATAACCTTATAGTTTTGCTATAATATTATATCATTCAACAGTATATTAAATATCTTAGGCACAGGAAACCTCCCTTGTTAGTTAATCGACAATACTTCTACTTAAGAAAAAACACAAAACAATGCAAAAGATGAATGAAAAATTACATGTGTACATGGCAATGGTCAGTCATATTTTAGGTCGGTAACTCAGATGAATAAATAAAATATGAGTTTAAATTAGTCCCAAATAAATGTTAATTAAATTACACTAAGAGACTGCAGGGGTGGAACAACATAAATTGTCATTTGAAAAGTGGTCCCTTACAATTCCCAAGAGGCTGTACATGTATGAATGTTCTACTCTCTGAGTATTCAGACTGATAAAAATATTCTTTTCAAATAGATTTTAACAAACTAAACAGAACAACAATAACAAATGTAACAGAAACAAACAAACTTGCCATATACTTAAAGCTCAATTTTTGGTTCTGTAAAATCAAGGAATCATACCATTACAATTTTGGTTAAACAGTCTGAGACACGTAGTTATCTCACACAGTCAATACAAGTTAGAAGTAATTAACAACACATCATCAGGAATGGTTACATCTAACTGTTTATAGGTGTACATTATGTAAACATGATATTATTTATCATTGGTTTTGAATTGAAATCTCACTAAGCAGAAAAAAGAGGAACAAGTCGAGCTTCAGAGGTTCAAAGTTCTTTTCTATGCTTAAAGACATGGGGGAGGTGGCTCTCATTTTACATCTTTATCTCACAGACATTCTATTCTACCTTCTAAATAATAATAAATTATTATGAGAGCAACCTATTACGTTTTATATATATCATTTAAAACATATTCAAAAGAAGATATTGACAAATCTAGAGCATACATATTAGTGTCATCTAAATTAAAGAAATGATAACATCTGACTTGATGACAATGTGATAAGTATGATAATACAGTGCCTGGCCTACCTGTCCCTGGTATTGAGGGTTGTCTGACAGGCTTGATTACAATGTGATAAGTATGATAATACAGTGCCTGGCCTACCTGTCCCTGGTATTAAGGGTTGTCTATCTGACAGACTTGATGAGAATGTGATAAGTATGACAACACAGTGCCTAGCCTACCTGTCCCTGGTATTGAGGGTTATCTATCTGACAGACTTAATGACAATGTGATAAGTATTATAATACAGTGCCTGGCCTACCTGTCCCTGGTATTGAGGGTTGTCTATCTGAAAGACTTGATGACAATGTGATAAGTATGATAATACAGTGCCTGGCCTCCCTGTCCCTGGTATTGAGGGTTGTCTATCTGACAGACTTGATGACAATGTGATAAGTGTGATAATACAGTCCCTGGCCTACCTGTCCCTGGTATTGAGGGTTGTCGATCTGGCAGGCCACCTTCATGGCCTCTGTGAAGAGGCAGGCTTTGTATAGTGACTGGGCATAGTAAAGTTTGTACTCCTCCACCTCTGGGTGCATGTAGCTCAGCTGTTCATAGCAGTCAGAAGCATTCACAAAGTCCTGCATCTGGAAGTGGCAGTATCCCAATAATGACAAAGCTGCTCGGGACTGTTGGTATTAAAAAAACAACCATTAATATTTTTCATGGATATATATATTTGCGAATGCAATAATCTTCTTAAGTTTCTCATGTCTGGATCAATGCAAATTCTATTTACTAGGTATTTCTATGTAAAGCTGTTCATATGCCTCATGTCTGTATAGGAGAGAACCCTGTCCAATATGTACATTGTACAGTCAAAACCTGGTATCTCAAAATTATTAGCAACATAAAATGACATGGAGATGAATGGGATATTGAATATATATAGAGGATCTATCATAAGTTTCCCTTCATATTAGATTTATGATACAAGCTTTGGATTTTTTGGAAAAATCCAAAACGAGTATGATAAATCTAATATGAAGGGAAACTTATGAGTTATAACAGATTCTTTTTATCATATAATACAAAGTAAACTGGCCACCTCAGAAACGATGAAAATTGCGTCTGCTTCACAATGACCTGACGTCACATAGATTATTCCTATTTGACTGTGACGTCATTTCCGGAGTGATATTACCCATGTTACAAAAACATAATTTATGTGAGGGCTTTATGACATTGCATAACACAGAATTTATATGATAAATACATATATGTGAACCTGGGTTATATGCAACAACAATAAGTCTAAAGACTTGCCACTACCTCTAAATTACTTGCACAAAAATAAAATGGGTGTAATAAAACACTACCTCTGAACCACATCAGCTCCTTAAGAATATGTGTACAACAAATTCATACAGGTTCATCTGTTAGAAGCTTACATCTGTTAGAAGCTTTTGATCATGACCAACTGTTCCATTTTGTACACCCCGATTACAATAACTATTACTTGGTACTTGTTTTAATTTTTAATTTTTGTTCAGACTTTACATCCTCACAACAGCTAAGGTCATATGAAGGTGGATATCTAGGGAGACACAACAGCTAAGGTCATATGAAGGTGGATACCCAGGGAGACACAACAGCTAAGGTCATATGAAGGTGGATACCTAGGGAGACAATGCCAAAAAGTAGGTAGCATAACAGAGAGCCAACTGCATGTACTTTACTGCTTACATAGTGTGTATATGATCAAAAGTAAAAAATGGAATATTGATAAATTACTGATATAATTATTATTTTATTAAGAACTCACCTTCTGATGGCTTTGTAACTGATTGTTGAGAACTTGCACGGCTTCATTGTAACGTTGTTCCCTGATCTAGAGAAAGAAATTATAATTGACATTTACAATATTTGTAACTTATGATAGATCTAGGTCCAGTGTAGAACGTGTTCCTAACACAGAATTTCTGGAATTATAAGAAGTACACACATATCGTTTGACCGCTGTGACCATGAAAGTGGGTCAAGGTTCTCTATTAGAACAAACTTGAAAGCCTTTTATCCCAGTATGCCATTGGCCAAATATGTAAAAGCAAAGACGCATTACAATATGGTTTATGGTAAGGTTTACTACAAAAAGCATACATTTAGATGTTTGTTTTCATTTTTCATAAATGTAAAATTTCCGATTATTTTACATCATTATTTTTAAAAAAGAATTATATTTAATGTCTTGTTATCAACCTTATGATAAAATCTTCTTTTTAAAGCGATTTTGTTTCGTTTTACTTAAAAAATAAAATCACATGAAAATAGCTCAAAAGACCTATTTCAGAATGGTTAATAACAGTAAAGCTATTATAGGTCTTTACAGCTATACTGTATAGCTCAATCGGCAGAGTGTACTGGACCTGGTCATAGGTGCTCGGGTTCTGGAGTATATGTGATATATTATAGCACCCCTTATACTATGGGTTCGATAATATATCACATAAATGATATATTCCAGAACCGGATCACCTATGGACCTGGTATGAGTGTTGACAACATCAGAATATTAGTGGATAAAACTTGTCATGTCAATCAAAACATTACCATTCCGTATATTGTCGATGTAAACTCCCCTTCTTTCACCTGCAACTGTGCCATAATGTCTTATAAATCTATCTCAAACGGATAAAGTGCAACAATTAAAACATGAAATCTAAACTGAAGTTATCATTAGCAACTGTTTCAGGAATGCCGGTCTGGGTTAATATGAGATTGCCAGTCTCAGTACAAACACTTGTAAGAGTAAAGCGTCTCGTCGCTCTTAATTTTTACCTTTCGGAATATCTCGTCAATTTATATTATTTCATATGTAAAATGCGAAATGTTCCAACTGCAACAATAAACGTGCAATGTGTGAACAGTTGTACAAGACATATGAATTATTCCACCTCTTAGTGGGATAGGCCTAACATATACATTGTTTTCGAGAATGATATCTGCATTTGAACGAGAGTCTATGGTAAGATTAGAACTGTGTATGCCAGGTTAAAACAATATTAGGAATAACATGCGTGTTTCACGTTGACATGCAATCAACGGTTGGGTTCAGTTATAGCATATATAGCACAGGGTTTTATCACGGAATTAGATTTCTAAGACCGTGGTTTTATCAATATAATTATAACAATCACTGTATATAAAAAATACCCCTTATACATTTTTTATAGTATAAGGGGTATTTTTTCCATACACAATTATTAATTAGTTTAATATTGATAACACGTCAAACTCCTTTGATTATACATGTAGTGTTGGAACGTTTGTGGATAGTTATATATTAAAATCATTATCAGAAAAACACAGTTTGTTAAGTGACAACCACTTATCATATGATAAGTCAGTGAATTATGACGTCGTTAAGCAAACCAACTGACGTAATAGATCTTTATCATTTGAGATGAAAATATCATGTTTATTGTGTAAACATTACCTACATTGTATGTATAGTTATAGGCATACAGTAATATACTCTGTACACATACAACTTTCACACACACATTTGGTATACTTCAGGTCCAGTACACTCTGCCGATTGAGCTATATAGCTATAAAGACCTATATAGCTATATACACCTATAAATTATAGCTGTATTGAGCTATATTTTCTCAGATTTCAAATTTCATTAAATTAAAGCAAAGTCGCATAAAACAATAAGGTTTATGGTAATGTTGACTACAAAAAGCATACATTTAGATGTTTATTTTCATTTTTCATAAATGTAAAATTTCCGATTTTTTTACATCATTATTTTTTAAAAAGAATACCCATATTTAATGTCTTTTGTTATCAACTTAATGATACAATCTTCTTTTAAAAGCGACTTTGTTTCGTTTTCCTTAAAAAAGAAAATCAATTCACATAGGTCAATAGAGCTATTATAGGTCTTTACAGCTATATAGCTCAATCGGCAGAGTGTACTGGACCTGTACTTGTTGTTGAATTATGTTTTACAGCAATCATGTTCTGTGCAGCAGATGAGTGCCGTTTCTATGACGGCAGTGATAGTAGCAATGATGATGATGATGGCGAAAACTCTGATACGGACAGAGAAGAAATAGAGTCAGCATTGTATGCACAGATTCACTTTCACCATGAGGAGGATGGGAACCTGTCCTATAAAGGTTACTCCACATCTGTTCAAACTCTGGGCAGTGAGTCGACTCAAATTATACACGATGACAGTCTGAACACACCATCTACAGCCACACCCTCTGGATCAGCTACAACATCCCTACTGTCACCACCATCAACCAACAACTGTGTAGTGTCTCTTTCCTCCGGCGAGGATAGTGTGTATGTGGTGTCTGATCAAGATGACGTTGACTTGACTGATAGTGAGTGTATGATTTTGGACGAACCTCTGTCCGACACAGGAGACATACTGGTGCATGTAGAGAGTTACCAACAACCCATTCTACAAGCAGCACAGATGACTGCCAGTAAAGGTATGGACTTCAAATTTCATACACCATGATATATGTTATAACCACCAGTTTGTGTTGTCTCCAGGATCTGTCATAAACAACATCAGTTAGTGTTGTCTTTAGGATCTGTAATAAACAATGCCAGTTAGTGTTGTCTTTAGGATCTGTTATAAACAACACCAGTTAGTATTATAGAAAGTGTTTTTCTCCTGCCCACACAACTCCAACAACCCAGGTGGAGTATAAAATGGTCTGGGGTAGGTGTTGCAGTATCTGTGCTGTACATAGCATTCAAGTGAGGTGGCACTATAAATGATACTGTTGGAAGCACGTTCCCACTACAAACAGAACACAATACATCTCCAGCACACACGCAGGCATACACACATAGGGAGATATTAGCCAGGTGGCATAGGACTAGTAGTTAGCGCCTGATAAGGCAGCTCCTGCGAATTCCTCAATATTGTATTGATAATTATATATGCTAATTGTATTGACTGTATAAAATTGTATATCTATGTACTGTAAAGCGCTTTAGAGTGGCTTATGTTAGCTAGATAGGGCGCTATATCAAATGTTGTATATTATTATATATTATTATATAAACAACACCAGTTAGTTTTGTCTTTAGGATCTGTTATAAACAACACCAGTTAGTGTTGTCTTAAGGATTTGTAATCAACAACATCAGTTAGTGTTGTCTTTAGGATCTGTTATAGCAACATTGGTCAGTGTTGTCTTTAGGACCTATTATAAACAACAATTTCAATTATTGTTGTCTTGAGGATATGTTATAAACAACACCAGTAATTGTTTTTTTGAGGATCTGTCATAAACAACATCAGTTAGTGTTGTCTTTAAGATCTGTTATAAACAATGCCAGTTAGTGTTGTCTTTAGGATCTATTTTAAACAACACAAGTTAGTGTTGTCTTTAGGATTTGTTATCGACATCATTAGTTAGTGTTGTCTTTAGGATCTGTTATAGCAACATTGGTCAGTGTTGTCTTTAGGATCTATATTAAACAACATCAGTTAGTGTTGTCTTTAGGATCTGTTATAAACAACACCAGTTTGTGTTGTCATAGGATCAGTTATAAAGAACATCAGTTAATGTTGTCTTTAGGATCTGTTATAACACCATTGGTCAGTGTTGTCTTTAGGACCTATTATAAACAACATCAGTTAGTGTTGTATTTAGGATTTATGATAAATAACGCCAGTTAGTGTTGTCTTTTGGATCTGTTATCAACACAACAGGTAGTGTTGTCTTGAGGATCTGTTATTAACAACTTCAGTTAGTGTTGTCTTTAGGATCTGTTATAATCAACTGAAGTTAGTGTTGTCTTGAGGATTTGTTATAAACAACATCAGTTAGTGTTGTTTTTAGGATCTGTTATAAACAACACCATNTGATAAGGCATCTCCTGCGAATTCCTCAATATTGTATTGGTTAATATATATGCTAATTGTATTGACTGTATAAATTGTATATCTATGTACTGTAAAGCGCTTTAGAGTGGCTTATGTTAGCTGGATAGGGCGCTATATCAAATGTTGTGTATTATTATTTATTTATATATAAACAACACCAGTTAGTTTTGTCTTTAGGTTCTGTTATAAACAACACCAGTTAGTGTTGTCTTTATGATCAGTTATAAACAACACCAGTTAGTGTTGTCTTTAGGATCTATTATAAACAACATCAGTTAGTGTTGTCTTTAGGATCTGTTATACACAACATCAGTTAGTGTTGCCTTCAGGATATGTTATTAACAACATCAGTGAGTGTTGTTTTTAGGATCTGTTATAAACAACACCAGTTAGTGTTGTCTTTATGATCTATTATAAACAACAATTTGAATTAGTGTTGTCCTGGGGATCTGTTATAAACAACACCAGTTAGTGTTGTCTTTATGATCTATTATAAACAACATCAGTTAGAGTTGTCTTTATGATCTATTATAAACAACAATTTGAATTAGTGTTGTCTTGAGAGGATCTGTCATAAACAACACAAGTAAGTGTTGTCTTTAGGATCTGTTATAAAGAACACTAGTTAGTGTTGTCTTGGGGATCAGTTATAAACAACATCAGTTAGAGTTGTCTTTAGGATCTGTTATAAACAACACCAGTTAGTGTTGTCTTGAGGATCATTTATAAAAAACACCAGTTAGTGTTTTATTCAGGATCTGTTATAAACAACACAAGTTAGTGTTGTCTTTAGGATCTGTTATAAACAACATTGGTCAGTGTTGTCTTTAGGATCTGTTATAAACAACATCAGTTAGTGTTGTCTTTAGGATCTGTTATAATCAACATCAGTTAGTGTTGTCTTAAGGATCTGTTATAAACATTGGTTACTGTTGTCTTGAGGATCTGTTATAAACAACATTGGTTACTGTTGTCTTCATGAGGTTAGTGTTGTCTTCAGGATCTGTTATAAACAACATCAGTTAGTGTTGTCTTTAGGATCTGTTATAAACAACATCAGTTAGTGTTGTCTTAAGGATCTGTTATAAACATTGGTTACTGTTGTCTTGAGGATCTGTTATAAACAACATTGGTTACTGTTGTCTTCATGAGGTTAGTGTTGTCTTCAGGATCTGTTATAAACAACATCAGTTAGTGTTGTCCTTAGGATCTGTTATAATTAACTTAAGTTAGTGTTGTCTTGGGGATCAGTTATAAACAACATCAGTTAAGGTTGTCTTAATGATCTGTTATAAACAACAATTTCAGTTAGTATTGTCTTTAGGATCTATTATAAACAACATCAGTGAGTGTTGTCTTTAGGATCTGTTATAAACAACATCAGTTAATGTTGTCTTAATGATCTGTTATAAACAACATCAGTTAGTGTTGTCTTTAGGATCTATTATAAACAACATCAGTTAGTGTTGTCTTAAGGATCTGTTATAAACAACATCAGTTAGTGTTGTCTTTAGGATCTATTATAAACAACATCAGTTAGTGTTGTCTTCAGGATCTGTTATAAACAACATCAGTTAGTGTTGTCTTAAGGATCTGTTATAAACAACATTGGTTAGTGTTGACTTCAGGATCTGTTATAAACAACACCAGTTAGTGTTGTCTTTAGGATCTGTTATAAACAACATTGGTTACTGTTGTCTTGAGGATCTGTAATAAACAACATTGGTTAGTGTTGTCTTAAGGATCTGTTATAAACAACATTGGTTAGTGTTGACTTCAGGATCTGTTATAAACAACACCAGTTAGTGTTGTCTTGATGATCTGTTATAAACAACACCAGTTAGTGTTGTCTTGAGGATCTGTAATAAACAACATTGGTTAGTGTTGTCTTAAGGATCTGTTATAAACAACATCAGTTAGTGTTGTCTTTAGGATCTATTATAAACAACAATTTCAATTAGTGTTGTCTTGAGAGGATCTGTCATAAACAACACAAGTTAGTGTTGTCTTTATGATCTATTATAAACAACAATTTCAATTAGTGTTGTCTTGAGATGATCTGTCATAAACAACAGAAGTAAGTGTTTTCTTTAGGATCTATTATAAACAACAATTTCAATTAGTGTTGTCTTGAGGATCTGTTATAAACAACACCAGTTAGTGTTGTCTTTATGATCTATTATAAACAACACCAGTTAGTGTTGTCTAGGATCTGTTATAAACAACTTCAGTTAGTGTTGTCTTGAGGATCTGTTATAAACAACACCAGTTAGTGTTGTCTTGAGGATCTATTATAAACAACACCAGTTAGTAGTGTCTAGGATCTGTCATAAACAACTTCAGTTAGTGTTTTATTGAGGATCTTTTATAAACAACACCAGTTAGTGTTGTCTTGAGGATCTGCTATAAACAACATCAGTTAGTATGTCTAGGATCAGTTATAAACAACACCAGTTAGTGTTTTCTTGAGGAACTGTTATAAACAACATTTGTTAGTGTTGTCTTTAGGATCAGTTATAAACAACACCAGTTAGAGTTGTTTTTAGGATCTGTTATAAACAACTTCAGTTAGTGTTTTCTTGAGGATCTGTTATAAACAACACCAGTTAGTGTTGTCTTGAGGATCTGCTATAAACAATATCAGTTAGTATGTCTAGGATCAGTTATAAACAATACCAGTTAGTGTTTTCTTGAGGAACTGTTATAAACAACATTTGTTAGTGTTGTCTTTAGGATCTGTTATAAACAACACCAGTTAGTGTTATCTTTAGGATCAGTTATAAACAACACCAGTTAGTGTTGTCTTAAGGATCTGTTATAAACAATATGGTGTACTCACACAAGAGGGCTCTCATTAATTTTTCTCTGTTATCTTTTTTTTCTAAATTCAAATATTTCAATTTCATAACAACTTCAGTTAGTGTTGTCTTTAGGATTTGTTATAAACAACACCAGTTAGTTTCGTCTTGAGGAATTTCTGATTCTATTTATCATTTATTGATTGTTTTAATCTCATCAATTTGAGAAACCCCAAAATGGTTCTTCATGCTGTATTGAAAGTATTTGATGACATTGTTAAAGTTTTTCTGCTTTGTATCATTCTTTCAACCTTTCAACATGACTGTTATAAGCCATTTAGAGATGTATGATGGTTTTACATGTTTATTGCTTGTTATACTTTGATTGTAGTTTAATTATTGTATCTTTGCTAAACAACGCTTTCTATTAGCCAAATATACATTTACACTATACATAGAATTTTGCTTCAAACACTTTTTGGTATTCAGGATAATCATTTATTTAAGTGATGGATATTTTCAGAAAATGATGTCTGCAAGATCTCGGAAATGGACCAGTTGGTAACAACTAACAATCCTGGTCTGAAGCGTTACTACAACCCCATAACTGTACGGTGTCACAACTGTAAGGAGATGGGACACATATCAAACGCTTGTCCCAAACCTAAGGTATAGTTGATACAACGTAATGTATAAAGGCTATTTGGTCTTATCTTTGAAATTGAGTCATATAAAGATATTGATTGATGCTAAAGAACATCATCTGCAGAATTTACATAAAGAACAGTTAAGCTAATGTTTGTGTATAAACCTAAGATTTAATGTACTATTGGTATAGAGTCTTAATTTGGTTTTTGTTTCACCTCAGAAATCAGAGATTTGTCACCTGTGTGGAATGACTGACCATTTCTTCCGTAAGTGTCCTAAGGGGATATGTTATAACTGTGAGGGCCCGGGGCACAACTCCCGTGATTGTCCTGAACAACGTAAGCCACGGAGGCAGACATGTTTCCGCTGCCTCATGCCTGGTCACTCAAAGAATGTAAGCTTAACCACCATTTTACTCTGTACTATTGGATTATTTTACTTATATATGTTATAAAACAGGGCGTGAAGCTAACTATTTCAGCCACTAGGAAAGTTTCATAAAATTATTTTCACTCACAAAACTTTGTGATCTTTTGATCAAATACATGTATAATGTGAATGAGCACCTGAACAAAGGAGAACACAGATAATCACAGTGAAACACAAATAAATCAACAATACAAATAGAAAAGGACTGTAACAAGAATATTTTTCAGATAACATCTTCATGGTTATTGATATTGTAAGCAGAGAAGCAAAAACTCTACTTTTAGAAATTGTGAGTGAGGGATAGTTTTACTAGCATTTTGTAAAGTTGACATTCATTTTACTAGAAAAAGTGTGTCAGTTTTAAGCTATATAGCTTTTTTGTTTGTCACTTTATCAATAATCCCAACATTTATAAAACTTTCTTCTGATATTTGTTTTCAGACCTGTCCAGACATTTGGAGACAGTTCCATGTGACAGTAAGTTCATGTTAATGGTTGTGATTTCTTTAAGCCATAAACCATGTTAATGGTTGTGGTTTTCTGTGACATTTGTGTTGATGGATTTGGTTTCCTATGACAGTGATGTTAATGGTTGTAGTTTCCTGTGACAGTGATGTTAATGGTTGTAGTTTCCTGTGACAGTGATGTTTATGGTTGTAGTTTCCTGTGACAGTGATGTTAATAGTTGTAGTTTCCTGTGACAGTGATGTTGATGGTTGTAATTTCCTATGACAGTGATGTTGATGGTTGTAGTTTCCTATGACAGTGATGTTAATAGTTGTAGTTTCCTGTGACAGTGATGTTGATGGTTGTAGTTTCCTATGACAGTGATGTTAATGGTTGTGGTTTCTTGTGACAGTGATGTTAATGGTTGTAGTTTCTTGTGACAGTGATGTTAATGATTGTGGTTTCCTTTGACAGTGATGTTAATGGTTGTAGTTTCCTGTGACAGTGATGTTAATGGTTGTCGTGTCTTGTGACAGTGATGTTAATGATTGTGGTTTCCTGTGACAGTGATGTTAATGGTTGTAGTGTCTTGTGACAGTGATGTTAATGATTAAGGTTTCCTCTGACAGTGATGTTAATGGTTGTAGTTTCTTGTGACAGTGATGTTAATGGTTGTGGTTTCCTGTGACAGTGATGTTAATGGTTGTAGTTTCTTGTGACAGTGATGTTAACGTTTGTGGTTTCCTGTGACAGTGATGTTAATGGTTGTAGTGTCTTGTGACAGTGATGTTAATGGTTGTGGTTTCCTGTGACAGTGATGTTAATGGTTGTGGTTTCCTGTGACAGAGATGTTAATGGCTGTGGTTTCCTGTGACAGTGATGTAAATGGTTGTAGTGTCTTGTGACTGTTACTCAAGTTAAGTGGCACTACCATGATTATTATCTAGCTAGGACATTTTAAAACTATCATATAACACTAAGTAAGCATGTTCACATTTTTGTCATATAAACACGTTCATGTACAATGTATTACAAAAAAGTTCTGGTATAAAAAATCATGATAGTACTTTTAGAAGTTATTCGATAATAATTTATCACGTTCTTAGAAAGTTGGCTGTTGAATTAGAAACAGAGTCTGGGTTTCTGTTGCCTACTTGTAAAGCTGGTTAGGAGGAATTTTTATGTCTATAGTTGGCTTACTATTAGTGCTACATGCATAATACTTTCAACAGTTTTACCGGTAATGTTTTCAACTTATATAAGTATGTTTAGCAAGTAATGACCGAGATTCCTTGTTACTTTGTGTGACATGTTTTAGTGAAAGTGAAGAAAAACCCATCTATAGTAAACGATTAACAACTTTGTACATTTCAGACCAGTGTTGGACCAGTGCAGAAAATGGAAATGAAGGCAAATCCTAAAAGATTTTGTTGTAATTGTGCCTCCAGGAAACACTTCGGCTTTGTACGTATTACACAGGTTAATGTGTATGTACTATACAGGTGAAATCATGTATTTGATACAGGATTAATAATGCAGGATAATTTGTGTATCACTGCATGAGTTCATTGTAGATATGTAAGTTTATTAAATCGCTGTTCTAGTATCACCAGTGACAAAAGTGACAGTACATCGTTAAAACTGTCCAGGTAAGAGCCTTGCTGCGGTTGAACATAATAAATTCTATGTAAAATGTAAGTTAATTTGAATGCATAATACAAGCGCATTTTATTTGTATTGTACTGGTTGATTTATGGGAAGGTAAGTGATACCCAGACTTGAAAAAAACAGGTATTGAATTGGTTGAACAAAAACCCTTGAAACAATATTGTAACCACAAAATCAGAGCTGCCAACACAGCCACAGGTCACACCCAAAATATCATTGCTGGATTTATGACACTGAAAAAGGAAGATTATACCTGAAAGTAAGTGTATACTATATGGAAGTGTACACTGTAAAGGAGATGTACATTTTAAAGTGGTGTACATGTACACTTGTACACTGTAAAGGAAGTGTACTCTGTAAAGGAAGTGTACAATGTAAAGGAGGTATACACTGTAAAGGACGTGTACATAGTAAAGGAGGTGTACAATGTAAAGGAGGTGTACATTGTAAAGGAGGTGAACATTGTAAAGGAGGTGAACATTGTAAAGGAGGTGTACAATGTAAAGGAGGTGTACACTGTAAAGGAGGTGTACATTGTAAAGGAGGTGTAAATTGTAAAGAGGTGAACATGTACATTTGTACACTGTAAAGGAAGTGTTTACTGTAAAGGAGGTGTACACTGTAAAGGAAGAGAATACTGTAAAGGAAGTGAATACTGTAAAGGATGTGAATGCTGTAAAGGAGGTGTACATTGTAAAGGAGGTGTACACTGTAAAGGAAGAGAATACTGTAAATGAAGTGAATACTGTAAAGGATGTGAATGCTGTAAAGGAGGTGTACATTGTAAAGGAGGTGTACACTGTAAATGTAGTGTACACTGTAAAGGAGGTGTACATTGTAAATGAAGTGTACAATTTAAATGAAGTGTACAATTTAAAGTAGGGGTACATTGTAAAGGAAGTGTACACAGTAAAGGAGGTGTAAACTTTTGAAAAAGTGTACACAGTAATGAAGTTCTACTTTTATACATGTATGTTATAATGAGAAGTGTACCAGGTAAACCATATTGCTGATGCGTTCAATATACTTACAGGAATGTGTAGAAGATCGGATGGAATGGCATGAACATGGAAATTATCCATTTATATCTACTTACACATACAGGGAACAAAGTCTCACCAGAGGTAACTATCTATTTATTGAAGCAATGAATGTTTTAGCAAATGTTGTTATGGTCTTTTAACACACATTGCTATTGATGACAAACTTAATAAAGCCTGGTAGGATTTTTAAAGATAAAAGTTTTACAATAGTCTCTGGTAAAATGCAAACTTTTCACACATCCCCGCTGGCTAAGATAGGTTTTATCACTTGGCCATCAGTTCAGTGACCCCAGTCTGATACTTGTAATCAGTGACCCCAGTCTGATACTTGTAATCTGTGACCCCAGTCTGATACATGTAATCAGTGACCCCTGTCTGATACTTGTAATCAGTGACCCAAGTCTGATACTTGTAATCTGTGACCCCAGTCTGATACTTGTAATCAGTGACCCCAGTCTGATACTTGTAATCTGTGACCCCAGTCTGATACTTGTAATCAGTGACCCCAGTCTGATAC